ACGACCACCACCTGGTCGACAATCAACATTTGTTATTGCAACTAGAAAAATATTCTAACAAATATTTATAATCATACAGACAAGATTTTCTTTTACCACAAATAAACAATATGATCAAGTTCGTTCGTACCATTTCGGATGGTAAGAAAATCATGGTAATTAAAAATCAAAATGTTTTTTCTACCTAATATATATACATGGTAGACATGTATATATTCGACACGCTTATTGATTGTCATCAATCAAAATATTTTCTAGGGTGACAAAAAAAGCAATTCGTATTTGTTCTTTATAACATAACATTGTGGCTATAGAAAAAAACAAGCAATATAGTAATAAATAAAATACAAAATTTATATTGAAAATTTTTTCAAGAAGATTTCTTTATATAAATATATATATAATAGATGAACAAGATCATTGTAGATTATAAATAGCTTCTCAATTTTGCAAAAAATAAAATATCATTCTTAGATATCGATTAATTCTTGATGAGAAATTCATATAATAATGGATTATTTCGATATTATCTAAGTAATTTAATTTCTAAAAATAATGTATTAAACTTTAGTGATTCAATGGATGACGTAGATTCATTTAAGAAGAAGATAAGAAAACATTGTTGATCACCATAAATATTGACATATCATTATTTTTATGTTAATTTGTCTTATCAAATATTAGCAGATCTGTTATAGCAATTATTTTCTTGTCGACTATTTATAGTTTTGAGAAAGTTAAACATGATAACACAAGTTAAGCTAATATCAAATTCAAATTTCAATTTTATGTTTCTGCAAAAAAAATAATTTTGGACAACATAGATATCGTTCATTTGTTATTAGGTGGCGCATGCAATACATCTAATTTCAGTTCTAAAGACGTGGTGAATTTTGCTGATGTTTAGTTATTATTCCTTGTCTGAACAATTGCATATTATAACATAGTTATAAAGATGTAGATAAAAAATGAACAACTAATTTATGCTGATCTTCTTATTTTATTCACTGTTATCGAATGAATAGTAGTTTATATTTATCAAGCAATCACAATAGATAAAATCATAGATTTATGCCATCTAGTTCAAACAAAGATGCTAACGTCATCTATACTAAATTTAGTTTAAAAATCGAATTTTTCAAGAAAAATTGAATATATACAAATGAAATTTCAATTAAGTTAAAAAAAATAATAATAAAATTATGTCTATAGTGCTTATTATTCATTGGTTTAATTTAGTCGCTATTCAAATATATTTATTAATATTAATAAAAAGTAATAAAATTGATCATTTCGAATGAAAATTGCTACAATTGAACGGATAACTTCTGTTCGACATCATCCAAATGCTGATCGTCTTGATCTTGTTTCCATTCTTGGTTATCAATGTATAACATCTCGTGATAGTTTTTTACCTGAACAATTAGTCATTTTTATTCAACCTGATTCTGTTTTACCAAATGATCAATCATGGGCACAGCCTTATTTAAAATATGCACGTCCACGTGTTCGAGCTATTAAAATTCGTGATGAATGGTCCGAAGGTTTAATTGTTTCATTAACTGATAATGAAAAAAATCTTAAAGAAGGTGATAATGTAGCTGAACAATTAGGTATTAAACATTTTGAACCAATTATTATACAAGATCCAACAAGTATTCTTGGTCCATTACCATTTAATATACCAAAAACAGATGAAGATCGTATAGAAAATTTTCAAAATAATCTTCCATGGAATGAATTAGTTGATGTAACAAAAAAAATTGATGGTACATCTTGTTCAATTTATTATTCTTATGAAAAAAAACAATTTGGTGTATGTGGAAGAAATTGTGAATATGATTTAA